CGATCGCCGATCGATCGATGGGCAGGCAGTGGCAGTCGAGTGCCGCAGGACCGCCCCCGCAGTGGTGAAATGCACACGGGCAGGGGGCGCAGCTCCTTTGTGTCGCCTGTATTGACACACCCGCTCCGGGGGGGTCCCCACGGGTCACGGGCAGCCCCGACGGGCGATCCCGGGCAGCAGGAACTCAGCTCTGCTGGGCACCACAGCTGCGCCCTCCGTCCCCACACGAGTCCCGATCGAAACCACGGTCCCCTCCTAGTCCAGGGGTGCCATATCGATCGGTGATCTTAGGTCATGGCGACAAGGCAGGAGAGCCCTGCTTGGGGATTTCATCTTCTCCGATCTTTTCCCTACCTGCAGGACCATTTTCAGTTTTCGGTGTTATACTCGCTCGTTGTTTTTAGCGTTTTTTTAATTACTGAGTTGTATCCCATGAGCACTCGCGGTTTTCTCATTTGCCAGGCACCATTTTGGGAGCAGCGAAGGCGTCACCGACGGGAAGGAAAGGGCAGAGGGGCAGGGCAATTCCAGGGAGTGGAACCAGAACAGAACAACAACAATTAACATAAAACCAGGCTGCTTTCCACAGTTAACAGAACATTTACAGAACAAACTTAGGAAATTGTTCCTAACAGTGGCAGGAATGTCCCAGCAGTGGTGGAAATGTCCCAGCAGTGACAGAAATGTCCCAGCAGTGGTGGAAATGTCCCAGCAGTGGTGGAAATGTCCCAGCAGTGATGGAAATGTCCTAGCAGTGGCACAAATGCCCCAGCAGTGACAGAAATGCCCCAGCACTGGCAGGAATGTCCCGGCAGTGACAGGAATGTCCCGGCAGTGGCAGAAATGTCCCGGCAGTGACAGAAATGTCCCAGCACTGGCAGGAATGTCCCGGCAGTGGCAGAAATGTCCCGGCAGTGACAGAAATGTCCCAGCACTGGCAGGAATGTCCCGGCAGTGGCAGGAATGTCCCAGCAGTGACAGGAATGTCCCGGCACTGCTGGACACCTTCCCACCACTCTTTTTCCACCCCAGGCTCAAGGGAAGGGAATCCTCCCCAGCCCGAGTGGAGTTGCGCACTCACGAAGGGAATTCTGCGGGGGAGAGGAGCCCGGAGAAATCCTCCCCAAGGCCACCTCGTGGTTTTCCACCTGCAGGGGGTGGCCGGGGCTGTGCCCAGCCCCGGGCTCGGTGCTGTCGCGGTGGAAGGACACCAGCTCGTTGCTGAATGTCACCGTCTCCACCGCACTGCCGGGGCAGCCCCAGCCCAGCAGGGAGGCGAAAGCCCGGCGGAATTCCGCGTTGAAGGCGTAGATGATGGGGTTGAGGGCGGAATTGGCCCAGCCCAGCCAGGTGAAGGTGCTGAGCACGGCCCCGCTGACACAGGGGACGCGGAGCTCGTTGTCGCAGAAGGGCAGCAGGCAGTTGAGCACGAAGAAGGGCAGCCAGCAGCACACGAAGACGCCCATGATGATGGAGAGGGTCTGCAGCACCTTGGTCTCCTTCTGGAGGGAGTTTTTCAGGGAGGTTTCCCCAGGGCAGCTCCGGGCGGGTCCGGGTCTCTCCAGGGAGGAGATGGCGCGGAGCTGGCGCCGGGCCGTGCGGAAGAGGCGGCCGTAGGTGGCCAGCATGATGGCAACGGGGATGTAGAAGCTGATGAGGGACGAGGAGATGGCGAAGGTCCCGCCGAGGCTGAAATCACAGCTCTCCTCCTCCAGCGAGCCATTAAATCCCAGCTGCTCTCGGCCGGGCAGCTCCCGGTCCTTGTGCCACTGCAGCTGCACGGGGATGAAGGAGATGAGGAGCGACAGCAGCCAAGCCACGCCGATGGTGACAAAGGCCACGCGATGTGTCACCCTCCTCTGGTAGCCAAAGGGGTTGGCGATGGCCCAGTAACGCTCGACGCTGATGAGGCAGAGGTGCAGGATGGAGGCCGTGCAGCACATGATGTCAAAAGCCACCCACAGGTCACAGAAAGCCCCGAAGGGCCAGGAGCCCAGCACGTCGGTGGCCGCTCGCCAGGGCATCACCAGCACGGCCACCAGCAGGTCGGACACGGCCAGGGACAGCACGAAGAGATTGGTGACCCTGGAGCGCAGGTGGGGGAAGCGGAGCACGGCCGCGCACACCAGGGCGTTCCCCAGCAGCGTGCCGAGGATGAGGAGGGACAGGCAGGCGGCTGCCACCACCCGCAGCCACGGCGGGGAGCGGCTTTGTCCTGCCCAGATGGTGGCATTGAGCACCAAGAGCCCAGCTCCTCCTGCCCGGGGGTAAAACCCGGCCATGGCTTCCCCGGGTATCCGGTCCTGTGGGGTGGACAGGGATGGACACGGGGATGGACACGGGGATGGACAGGGATGGACACGGGGATGGACACAGGAATGGACACAGGGAGGGACAGGAATGGACACAGGGATGGACGATGGACATTGGAGGTTTCTCAGCTCAAGTCTCCCTCAGCATGCAGAGCCCGTTTTCCCCATTTCCCTGCTCCCACAGCCCCAGCTGCAATGCAGTCCCGCTGCCAGCACAGAAATGCTCGAAGCTCTCAATCCTCTCCAGGTCTCTGCTGGCGGCGTTTGGGTTTTCCCTCCCATTTCCCTTCCTCTGCTGCTCCCAGGAGCCAGCACTCACCTCCAGGGCTGGGGAGCCTTTGCTGCAAATCTTCCTCCCTCTGCTCTCTCCTCTTCACCTGCTGGTGATCCTGTGCCCGCTGCAGAATTCCCAGATCCCTTCCTTGCCTTGGGACTCGCTGCTGGGAGCAAGAGGGGTCTGAGCTCCCTCCCTGCTCCCAGACCCGGCTGCTCTTCCCTCTGAGACAAATCCCTCTGGATTTCACTCGGGTGGGATCTGGCTCTGCCCCCCGGAGCTGGGAGAATTTGTGGATCCACAGGGTGAGTCACTGGGAATTCGGTGAGAGGGTTGAAGGGGGAAAATAATCATTCCAGTCTGATTTGAGGGTCCTCAATGCAAATGAGCACAGAAATTGACTGGGATTTCTGCATAAAAGATACCTGATTTCACTGCCCAGGCACTGAGTCACAGCTCAGAGATGACCCCAAACCAATCACTCCTCCCTGCCCTGAGCTGCTGCAAACCTGGCATTTACTGTCACTGCAAAATTTCTTCTCCAGGAAAATAAAAATAGGAAAAAATCCACATCTAAAGATCCTGTACAGACCTGGAAGTTTTTTTCTCTCTGAAAGTCTCACACAAAGCAGCCTCAGACCTTTTTTTCAGCAGAACCAGTGAGGATGTTGAACATCACCTGGATAAGTTTTTAAATCCTTAATAAATGGATTTTACTTTCAGTAAAGTGGTGTGAATTCGCTTCTCTTTCAAGCTCATCACTAATTCCCAGCTTGTTCCACATCAGCTTTCACTCAGGGATAACTGAAAACATCAACCTGAAAGTCAAGGTGCTTTTCCAGTCAGGTGTGGATGTGGCACTTGGGGACACGGTTTGGGGGTGGCCTTGGCAGTGCTGAGGCCACACTTGGACTTGATGCTCTTGGAGGTCTTTGCCAACCTTAACAACTCTAAAATTTTCTATTTTGGAGCTCCCGTGGAGGAGGAGCTGATTTGTATCTCCAAGGAGGAATTCCTGGGAGCCTCCTGGCTTGGGATGTGTCACCATGAGCTGCCACTGCCACCCTGTGCTGTGATTTCCTGAGGGGACAGATCAGTGTCACCCTGCCCTGTGTGACACATCAGTGCCACTCCTACCCTGTCACAGGTCAGTGCCACCCCTGCTGTGTGTGACACATCAGTGTCACCTGCTCTCTTTTGAGGAGAGCCTTCCTACAAAAGTGAGGTGGGGAAAAGCAGGACAGGCTTTGCAAATCCTGGGCACAACTCGAGCTGGTTCAGCTCGAATTAATTCCCTCTGTGCTCAGAGCATCCCTGACCCTGCATTTCCCGGTCACCTCGGGGGAAAAGAGTCACCAGAGCACCGTGAGCAGGCTCTGCTGAGCCCGGATCCATCACCCCGAGATTGCCGAGCCCGGATCCATCACCTCGGGATTGCTGAGCCCGGATCCATCACCCTGAGCTGGCTCTGTTAAACCTGGATCCATCACCCCGCAATTGCTAAACCCGGATCCATCACCCCGGGATTGCCGAGCCCGGATCCATCACCCTGAGCTGGCTCTGTTAAACCTGGATCCATCACCCCGCAATTGCTAAACCCGGATCCATCACCCTGAGCCGGCTCTGCTGAGCCCGGGGAGAGCAGGACCAGCCATTCCCAACACGGAGCCGATATTCCCTGGAGGACACAGCCCGGGCTCGCTCCCGGGTGTCGGGGCGCTCGCTGTCCCCGTGTCACGGGGTTTAATTAACCCTCATTAGCGGCGCCGCCCGGGGCTGTTCCAGGGAGCGAGGGTAGATGGCACCAGCGGCGGCGCACGGAGCAGCGATTCCTGCCCTCGGGAATTCGGGATTGCAGCGCAGGAAAAGCGCCGAGCTGGGTCAGGGCAGGGCAAGGCTCTTCCCCAGAGAGGGCGGAATAAAAGCGGGACAGCTCGCAGGGAATGGGCACGGCCCGAGGCTGCCGGAGCTCCAGGGATGTTTGGATGCTCCCAGGGATGCACGGGGTGGGATTTTTGGGATGTCCGGGTCCTTTCCCGCTCTCACTCCCAGGGATGCTCGGCCCTCTGCGCCCCACGGGGCATTTTCCTCCCAATCCCTGCTCTGGGCACAAAGATTTTCAGGATCTCAGGGGGCAGAAACGAACCCCGGGATGCTGTCACTGCTGTCCCGGTGAGCAGCGATGGCAGCGACCTGTGACAGGGCAGGGTGGCACTGATCTGTGATGTGTCACACACAGCAGGGGTGGCACTGATGTGTCACACAGGGCAGGGTGACACTGATCTGTCCCCTCAGGAAATCACAGCACAGGGTGGCAGTGGCAGCTCATGGTGGCACATCCCAAGCCAGGAGGTTCCCAGGAATTCCTCCTTGGAGATACAAATCAGCTCCTCCTCTACAGGAGCTCCAAAATAGAAAATTTTAGAGTTGTTAAGGCTGGCAAAGACCTTCAAGAGCATCAAGTCCAAGTGTGGCCTCAGCCCCCAAACCGTGTCCCCAAGTGCCACATCCACACATTTTGAACCCCTCCAGGGACGGTGATTCCACCCTTCCAGTGCCTCACATTTTCCATGAAGGATTTCATCCCAATTTCCAACCTAAACCTCCCCTGGCACAACGTGAGGCTGTAGGAAAGGATCTGGTGTGGGATCCCATTTATCAAATTTCTGAGCATTTTGGACCACACCTGGTGCAGAAATTCGGGTTCTGCTGTCACAGGCAAACCAAACCCAGCAGCTCCTCCTGTGAGAGATCAAATCTCCTCCCCTGAGGAACCTGCATTATTTTATAATCAACAGTTCCTTTTAATCCAGGCTCAAGTTAAGCACTATTTTAAACACCTCTCCAGCATGAAAAGATTCCCGTTTGGTGGCAATTCAGCTCGAAGGTTTTTATATTTAATTTCCTCACCCAGCAAGAGGCTGCCCTTGATTTCTTTTCCCTGCTGTCTCACCAAAATATCCTGAAAATTCTCCATTTCAGGCACCCTGATTACATCCCCCACTCTGCATCAAAGGCAGAAAATTACCAGCCACTCCAAATAAAGCAGCAGCTGCTCGGGTTTAACTCCTAAATGTCATTTCCAGCACAGCTGATGAATCCCAGGATTACAGGGGAGAGTTTATTCCTGCAGGAATCCCTTTGGATTTCCAGGGAAGGGACAATTCTGAGAGCAGGGGAGAAAGGAGGGAGAGTCAGACCTGAAAAACAAAAATCCAGGTGGTAGGTGAGAGCTGAGCCCTGTAAAAAATCCATGGGAGCATTCCAGGGATCAGATCAAACCTCAGAGGAAACAGCATCAATAGTCTGGGAATTCCAGGTCTAGGCATTGTGGTTTTAGAGGGAAATTTGTTTTTTTATACACCAGGCCACTCAATTTACATCGATTTTCTTCAGGCAGAGAGAAAACCAGTACCAGGCTCCAAATCTGGGCTGCTTAACTACAATGAGAACAAGAAGCTGGGTGGAAAACTGTCCCAAAATCAGCTTTAGGAATTGTCTGCTACAAAACCAAGGGGTTCATTAGAACTGATTTCCTTTTCTCCATGGGCAAAGGGCTGTGACTGTGAGCCTTGAAAGTGCAGGTTTGAGATGCAGAGTGATAAAAAAGAAGGGGGAAGATAAGGAAAAGCAGGAATTGTGTCCAAAATGACACCAGGAACGAAGGTGGTGCCACCCAAAAAGCAGCAGAGGCTGCTCAGGAAAAAAGAGACAAATTATTAAATTATTAAATGTGGTAATTTTAATAACGGGCTTTTTAAAGCCAGGTTAGATAAAGTCTGGTGGAGCAGTTGCTCGGTTTGGGCTTGGATAAAGCAGCCCAGGACTATCCCTGGATTCCAGCACAGCTGGAACAACAGCTGGAAGAGGGAAAAAGCACAGGAGAACCCAGAGCCCCTCGGGTCCCTCCCCTCCCCTGTTGTCACACACAGGCAGAAAACACCGAGGGTTTTTCTCCCGTTTACTTCCAGAGGAAAGGAACACAGAGCTTCATTGTACATCATTCCATGGGGAACTGGGAGCTGCAGCCTCCCCCTGCCCCTGGCAGGAACCTGCACTGCTGAGTGGGGACAGAGGGGACACAGCCCCTGGGGACACCCCCAGGACACGGGGACACCCCCAGGGACATCCCCTGGCCCTGGGCTGGGGCTGAGTGGGCAAGAAATGATCACCAGGAGGGGAAACTCCAGCCCTCAATTCCCATTATCCCAAAGTGCCACTGAGGAATGGAGCTTGGAGAGGCAGCGTGGAAGTGCAGGAATACATTCCCAGTGTGCAGGAATACATTCCCAGTGTGCAGGAATACATTCCCAGTGTGCAGGAATACATCCCAATGGTGCAGGAATACATTCCCAGTGTGCAGGAATACATTCCCAGTGCTGGAATACACCAATTGGTGCTAGAATACATTCCCAGTGGTGTGGGATACATTCCCAATGGTGCAGGAATACATTCCCAATGGTGCTGGAATACTTTCCCAGTCAGGGATTTGGGCACAGGGCTGGTGATCATCCACAGGCAGCCAGGCACTCCCCTGCCACGCTCAGGAATCCCAGGGAAGGGCACATTCCCCTCCTGGAAGCTCCATTTTTCAGGGATTTGGGTTTCCCACACTTCCATGTGCACACGAGGGGTAAAAAGTGACCTGCAAAAGATGAGGGGAGAGGCAGCCCTGGTGTGGTGCTCGGGGTTTTGT